ACTGAGAGACAGTGGGAATCTACAATCTGCATGGAGGCCTGGCATTAGTATGGGGAGATAGCAAGAACTGCAGATGCTGGAGTCAGAGTCGATAGAGTGTGGAGCTGGAAGAACACAACAGGTCAGGGAGCATCAGAGGAGCAGGAAAGTCAACATTTCGGGTCGGGACCCCTCTTCAGAACATCAGGATGGGAAGCCTCAAGTGACCAGGCCATTACATAGAACACAGAGTTCCAACTGTGGGTGACGACCCCAAGAGGGGTCATAGGACTAGGTTTTTTTGGGTCATCAGTTCTAAGGGAGCATTGAGAGCCCTGAAGCTGGGGGAATTTTGAATCTGAGGCATCTTTAGGCACTTTTTGTTTCCGTCAGCGGGACATGACCTAATTATCTTTTCTTTGAGGCTGGATTGTTATTACAACCACAGCCTGTAATAACATGCATCTTCACTTTTTACAGGGGCGAACCAACCGTTTTAATCCCTACACCCCATCCGCTTGTTGTCTTTATAAGCATCCTCCACAATTTTCACACCGGGATAAAATGACATTGGAATTTCTAAAACAGGGTGACACTGGGATAAAGTTTGTGAACCACTTATTTAGGACAGGAGATCTACAGCAACCAAACTTGGTTCCAAGTCAATATTTCAAACCAGAGTGTGACATAAACTTTCTGCAGGAACTGGACTGCTACTAAAGAAAAAACAGAAAAAAACCTCTTTAAAGCATTCAGGAGGATTCAACCCTCACTTTTTATTTTCTACATCACCATACACAGCAGTTGTACCCAGCACCTCTTCAATCTACCCCTTGGAGCGATAATAAAACAATTGAGTAGAAAAATAATACTGAGTAACATTAACCAGGTGACTGAGTGTGGTTAGCAGATCCAAGGAATGAGACAGTGCTTAAAGCAGTAACACACCTACAAGAATAGCTATCTCACACTCTCAAAGGCAACACAAACACATCACATTTTGATAAAACTAGGTCAGAACAGTTTTCTTCTTTGATCTGGTGTTTTGGCAAAAAGTGCTGAATGAATGAAAAGTAAATGTGTGATAATGAGGGAAAGGCTATGATTGCAGCAGTCAGCCCTTGATGGAATCGAGTCAAGCTCTTGGTGCCTCAGCATTTTTCAACATGTTTCCTGGTGATCATTGCTCTCTGGAAACAACAGTTGGATTTTTCTTGCACAATATTGCACCGGATGTTTCTGGTCCTTAGGGCTTATACCACCAGACACCAGTCTGCCTAGCATTGGTCATCTGACTGCTGGATATCTCTCATGCATCTTGGCCATCAGAAGTGGTCCAATATATCTCTCAGTAAGGACCCCTCAAGGTTTGAGAACAGGACAGCAATAATCCCTTGCAAGGTTCCAGAACTGTACCACGAAACCTTCATATGGTTCTGGACCTCAAGAAAGCGTAAAACATCTTTCAGCATCTGTCACAATCAATAATAAGTCACCAGTTCACAAAATGGTAGCTGCAACACACCTTTTGTGTTCCTTAATATAAGAGTCAAGAAACCACAAACAATTAGTTCTCTTGTGGCCATTTCAAGTTGATATTGAAGCTATCAGCACTTAGCTACTGGGAAACATCAGAAAAACAAAACCTAGAAAACATTGCATTATTTTTAAAAAAGAACACAGCAAAAAATAGTTTTAGCACTGTTTGTATTGATTTCTTCTTTAGATAATGAATAAAAGATCTTTTGCAATTTTAAATCTATTTTTAAAAAAATTAAACATAAGAAATTATAAAACCCTAAAATCTATTAATCCAGACAGAAGTAGAATGGATCTGGATGGAGACAATCAGATCCAGAAAGCTGATAAAGTGTTTACATTTCGCCATCTATAGCATATCAAAGATATGTCAGACAATGGACCTGGTGCATTTAAAGTTCCAATGTTTAACGTTAATTACACAATACATTAACATTAATATACATCTCCAATATTCAGTTTTGGTTAATAGTTCACTCTAGAAAATGGTCTAAACACTGACTTGCAAAAATACATCCAGATGCGTACAAGGAGATGAACATTAGCTGCCTCCAACAATTAGTTTGGTCTTGTCAACTGTTTGTTATTGCAATGTCTTAAGAGGACATTTGTTTTATGGACACAAGGTCAAAGAGAAGCTGTGACAATAAATTCTTGACAATTATAGAAAAATAATGTATTTTGAAGAATAGGCAATTTATTAAACTAAAGATACCCACAAACCCAATTTGTTACAAGGAAGAAAAAAGGGTTCTAGAAGCATACAAATATAGTTGGACCTTAGTGAGACCTCTGTGGACTATCAGTGACTGTGATTATATAGAGACTGTCTCCTTGGGTGTCAGTGTGTAATCCACCATGTGTAATAGAGCGACAAAAAGTCTACGAAGGTCCCGGATTCAAACAGAGGTCGATGCTGAATTGACTGGTCTTAGTTAAAGCAGTGACGAGAGATCAGCCAGGATCCCTGCTCCTGACTTTATCCATCAGCTCGTGTGGCGAATGTGCGCTTGTGTGGCTTTTAGGCCGGGCTCAGTTGTAATATCCTTCTCCTTCCTCCAATAGTCATATGATTAGTCACTGGGGCAAGTTACAAAAGGTCCGTATGAGGAGCAGCCTCTCCTTAACTCAAGGACATAAAGGTCCCTATTATCACTTGATTTAAGTCAGAAATTAGTATCAAAGCTGGAAACTTCTAGCCTGAATGGTTCACTACTGCATTTATCATTGACAGCTCAGGGAAGGTCTAAGATCATATCAGTAAAACTGTGTTAATCACCTGTCCTATCAACAAAATTCTATTGTATTTTTTGTTTAAAAAAGACTAAAGTTCTTCAAAAAGAATATTTTATACTGGAATCTTCCATTCTCTCCTGCTAACTGGAGCTGGGTTTACCCAGCATTCATTTGATCTAGCACCACAGTAATCCGCATTTAAAAATACAAAACACAATTTATACAAATTGCTCAAAAATGGTTGATGCTGCTGGAGAAGCTAATGGTGCATGCTCCATGGACTGAAAGCATTGGATTAAAATGCTAAAGCTGGGAGAGAAATGCAAAATAAAACTAAAATCATCCTCTCTGTATCCCACACATTGTACTTTGAATAGCCACTGGTGAAAATGAACATTTTACTGCCAATTGTCACTACTTTCCTCCGCTTCAATCCCACGGGATTTGTTTGAAACGCAGAGGCATTTTCCCCGAATTCGGACCAACATCCATCTCCTGCCCAACATAACTAGAGACTGGTCATTGTCACCACGCTGTTTACGGGATATTGCTCTGCACAAATTGGCTGCCATCTTTCCTACATTACAATGGGGATAACATTTCAATAGTATGTTGGTATGGCGGCACTGCTGCCTCACAGTGCCAGGGACCCAGGTTCAATTCCACCCGCGGGTGACTGTCTGTGTGGAGTTAGCATGTTCTCCCTGTGTCTGCATGGGTTTCCTCCGGGTGCTCCAGTTTCCTCCCACAGTCCAAAGATGTGCATTGGCCACATTTAATTGCCCATAGTGTCCAGGGGTAGTTTAGAAAAGGGAAATGCAGGGTGACAAGGATAGGGTTAGGGGGATGAGTCTGGGTGGGATGCTCTTCGGAGAGTCGGTGTGGACTTGTTGGACCGAATGGCCTGTTTCCACACTGAAGGGATTTGATGAAAGTGCTACAAAAATGCAAGTCTTTCCTCCTTGCTTTCTCTGATGCCAATTTATAGGTGCTTCTGACTCTCCCTCCAGTACACGGCATTGAGTCCTGCCAGACTTGACTAAGCTGCTTTGTCAAACAAACAAACCAGTTCCTGGCTCCTGCTGCCAATACACACAGATCAATGGCAGACACTGAGGAAGTCTGAGTTGTGATGTATTCTTCACAGCTGTTGAAAATTATTCAAAAACCTTAATAATTAATGTCAACTCCACGACGCTCTCCCAAAATGAGGACATGGAAGTCTCATTGTAAAAAAAAATAGATTTGGCCGATTAGCAAACAACTGGCACGGTGGCTCGGCGGTTAGCACTGCTGCCTCACAGCGCCAGGGACCTGGGTTCAATCCCACCCTTGGGCGACTGTGTGGAGTTTGCACATTCTCCCCGTGTCTGCATGGGTTTCCTCCAGGTGCTCTAGTTTCATCCCACAGTCCAAAGATGAGCAGGATAGATGGATTGGCCATGCTAAACTGCCCAGGGATGTGTAGATTAGGTGGGTTATTGGGGTATGGGTCTGGGTGGGATGCTCTGAAAGTTGGTGTGGGCTTGTTGGGCTGAAGGGCCTGTTTCCACACTGTAGGGAATCTATGATAATCTATGGTCTGAACAAGAAATTAGTAATTTGAACCTAGTGCTAAGGTCCTGTTGATGCTGAAGGGCTCCATGACAGGAAGACCTCTGGGAACTGGTGGAGACCCAGGCTAAGGCTGAATGTGTTTGATGTGTCTTCTCTTGGAGCCCAGGTACCAGAGCCCTCAAATCACATGGAAAAGCTAAAGTGCTCATTGCCATAGAGCACAATAAGGACTGAAGGAAAGGGGAGCCATTTCTAGTTAACATAATTCAGAGGTGTGGAGAGGTTTAGAGTTTGTTTTAACTTATAGCTAGGTTTGCTACCTCAGAGGCTGTGTAACTCATGTGAATAATGTTAGGAAACACACAACACCAGGTTATAGTCCAACAGACAAACAGGACGCTGGAAGAACTCAGCAAGCCAGGCAGCATCTGGAGGAAAGGAGCAGTCAATGTTTTGGGTATAACCTTTCTTCTATTGTCCAACAGGTTTATTTGAAAACACAAGCTTTCGGAGCCTCTCTCCTTCTTCAGGTGTTACTGAGAGAGGTGGTATCAGACACAGAATTTATAAGTAAAAGATCAAAGGGTCACACAACTGATTAAGGTGTATTAAACAAACCTGAGATGCTGTTAAATCTTTACTCAGTTAAAAGGTTTTAATTGATTAATATGTATATGTAAATCCCCAAATTCATTTTAAGTCACTGTCCTGAGAGAACTAAAGGTTTTATCAGTGTAAAGAAGAGGTGACATTTTAGGTCAGACAATGTAATGTTAGATGTGATAACCATTAAGAGAAGGACAGAGATTAACACTTGCAGACCTGTGCTATGCGGTACATTAAGTTTAAATTCCTGACACCAATGTTTAGGAGTTAAATTATCTCATTTCAGTGTGTTTAATCCTCCTGAGCCTGAAAATTGGTTTATAGATTTGAAATTTGTTGCCATTTTTGTTATTAAAATGGGAAGGGCAGACACTGAACAAAACTAGGCCACAAAATATTTGATTCAAATCGGGTGGCCCAGACTTCCTGCTAGAGGGTGTCAAAAGGTAAATTACTTTGATCACTTCCCCAAACATAATGGCCAGTTGGGACAGGCCTTCATAAGGAAAGTGGTAGCGACTTGCTTCTAGGAAAAGGAACACGAGGGTAACAAATGAAGAAGCTTGTCTTGTAATGATGTCAAGGTGACTGCTGGGGAGTCCGCTGAACACTGAGTCAGCTGCTGAGGTGTTGATTTGGATCAGATGTTACTGGGGTGGACGAAGGGGTCCGTGACTCTACTGTCAGCAGAGGTATGGCATGTGTTGTGGTTGATGAAGGGAATGAAAGGTGATATTCTTCCATATGGATGCTGCGAAGTACCAACGACGGAATTAGTTCCCGGACAGGATGGAGTGGGAATACTGAGGCTGGCGTCTCCGGAGTTCCTGTTGCAGTTGGTCCTTCAAGGTCGAAACCTGCAGCACGTAACAGACAACGACACAGAGTGAAACCATAGGACAGCTCTTTCAAAGACCAAGCGGGGACACATTCAGAGTCAAGACGTAGTAGCTATAGGAGAGCCTGGCTTCGCAGGAGATTTGCTGAGACAAAACATACCCTAAGTGCAGCTTAGAATGAATGAAATTTGCCGTGCCCACTCCTGCCATATTCCCCTTTCCACAAGGCATAAGCCACGCTGTCAAACAACATCTTAATTACTAGTAATCTGGTAAATCATACACTCCTGTCCCAATCCTCACTCCATTCAGAAAATCATACCTCTGTAACGTTTTACAGATCACCAATTTGTTCTAGTCTCTATAGTTGACCCCTTGTCAACTTAGCATTCCTGAGGCCAAGGTATTTTCGATTTTGCTAGAAATAAAGATGCTTGACAATAAAGCAGAGGTGAAAATTTGCGACAGATCTGTTCTTAACATTTAAATGGAGGTCTTAAATGATAATCATCTGACGTAAAATTTATCACAATTGTGAAGCAGGTTTATCTAAATACACACAACCTGCATTATTATCTAAATATGACACTGAAATTCCTGAGGATGCTGGAAATCAGAATCAAAAACAGAAATTGCTGGAAAATCTCAGCAAGTCTGGTGGCATCTGTGGAGAGAAACCAGAGTTAGGTTTCAGGTCCAGTGACCCTTCTTCAGAATTGATTCTCTTCTGAGGAAGGGTCACTGGATCTGAAACTTAACTCGGATTTCTCTCCACAAATGCTGCCAGGCCTGCTGAGACTTTTCAGCAATTTCTGTTTTGTTGCTGCAATATTATCTAAATGATTCCAGATGAGTTTGTCAACTATTACCCTTTGAGGTGGTGCACCATCTTGTAAAATATGCCATACTGAGGTCAGAGAATGGTTACAGCATAGTTGGAGGCCATTCGGCCCGTTCCGTCCATGCTTAGTCTAAGTCTTCCATTTTTCCATGTAGAGCCCGCAAATTTTATCTCTTCAGATAATTATTCAAGTCGCTTAAGAAAGCCACGATTGTATTGGCTGACCCCACACATTCGGACAGTGTATTCCAGATCCTAGCTACACACACGGCTCGAGAGAAGGTTCTCCTCATGACACTTTAGGTTCTTTTGTCAATTTTAAATTAGCATCCACTAGTTCTACTCCCTTGTGGCAGTAGGAACTGTTTTTCCTATCCATCATGCCCAGGCACTTCATCATTTTGGATTTTCTACCAAATCTCTTCTCATCTTAAAACAAAACCCAACTCCTCAAAAACTTAGAGAACAAGGTGCAGGGCTGGATGAACACAGCAGGCCAAGCAGCATCATA